GTATAAATAGCTCTCAAGCCTTGGAAACCTCTGTAGTCAGCTGAATATCTTGCAATCGTTTTCTAGGCACTCTAAAATGTTCTTTTCTGTTTCACTCTACTACTGGCAGATTTTATGCACTAGAGATATATCTGTGATATAAATAAGTCCTTGATCACAGATGTCTGCAGTTACATACTGGAAATGAAATCATAATCAATTCCTAACTAATGTAATTTTAAGTAATTAACATTTCAGGTTTATGTCCTACTATGAAAAAAAAACCATTTAAAGCTTAAGTCTGTGTCAGAAAATGCTATGTATCATAAATTACATTTAACTAGAGAACCCTATTCGTTTTATCTCAGTATTCATTTCTGTATCAGTTACTCTTGCATTCTTGGATAGAATTCAATGCAATGGCTTTCTTTCTCTCCAGTACCTAATTATATAAGCCTTGGGCGCTCCATGCCCAGACAGGTCCAGGTCACTAGCATTCAGCAGTCCCTTCTAATTTCAGGCCTGGTGCTACAGCTGAGTGGATCTACATAAATCAGGTCAATTTTTACATCTTGTTAATCACTTCTGCTGACTACTGGCTTCTGCTGAACATATGACACCTGCAGGAATTATATCTCCATGCGGATATGGTAGGCTGCGCATTGGAAGGATGCATTCCACTGTACTGTAAAAGTCACTGCCTGCACCTCTTATATGCTCATGAAGACATATACAGTATATGTGTGTGTGTGTGTGTGTGTGTATGTATATATATATCTATATATATATATAGATATATATATACAAAATATAAGGGTTAAGATGTGGTCACATCCTCTAGCACCTAAAATATTTAGGTGATTGCTGAAATGGGAAAGCAGAAATGTCTGTGGTGTTCAACAGACTATGAGACTTCTGTCAGAAGACTGAACCTTTTTGTTTGCCTTTTTCTGGATGTATCCCTATGAAGGAAGGCCTGGCTGGTATATATTTTCAGAAAAGTGAAACTGGGTAGGAACGACCTTTAACAGATACTGTTAGCTTGCTTTGTTCCATTCAAGGGATGACAAAACTCCATAACAAACAACAAGTTAATTAATATATGTGATAAATGATTAAATTACTAGCAAGAACATACAGGCAAACCTAACACGTGCTCAAAGCAAAACAGTTTAAAGTGCAAAAAAATTATACAAAATAATATAATAATAATGGTGAGGTGATATCCAGTCTGATGAATAAATATACAGTGTGTGATGTCAGCAATCTCAAGGACGAAACTTCAGCTAAACTGCTTTGGTGAAACATTACTGAAATTTGCCTCCAGGTGACTGAGCAAAATTTCTTATCCCTAGAGGGATGGGCGAAAGTGAGATTTATGAGAAATGCATTGGAATCAACTGGAGGTAAAATTTCACCTCTCATCATTTCTCCAGCTCTGGACTGCAAGTAGACATAAAACATTTTACAAACATGAAGGGCAAATTAGAAAACTCAGGAGGTAACATCTCTTGGCACATTCAAGCATATTATACCTATCCTTATTCACATCCGCATAGCATGTGCAGGGGCACTAGCTACTGTAGGTACTACTACTACCACTACTTCTACTACCACTACTACTAATACCACTACTACTAACACTACTACGACCACTACTATGACCACTACTACCAATACCACCACTACTACTACTGGTACACCTACTAAAGGTAACAACAACTCTGGGATGTAGTAATATTCCATTAAATTAGTGTTTTATTTTCACTCATTATTTAATGTGAAAATGATCTTGTTTAAAAGTGATCTATATTTTATTTTTTACATACACATGTGAATGTTATCTGCCGAATGAAAATAAAGCTACTCTGTGCTGATGTTTTAAAAAGTCGTCAGCCATTTAGCAGGAAAGCTGACTATACACCTCTCTATACTGATGACCACTAAAGGAAAGAATTAATGAATATAGGGCAGAACAAATATGAACAAACATGAAAGTCTCATCAAAAATGACATTAAAGTAAATGTTTTCTCAACCCAAAATGTACCCTTACAGAAAACACATCATAGTTTTACATTAGGTAACACATTTCTTCAAGAATTAAATACCCCTTTTAAAGAAGCGAGGTAAAGCAATCAGGGTGCAAAACAGCAGCAGTGTCACAATCCATCCATTGAAAATTGCAGTCAGAGTAAGTTCTAACAGGATGCAATTATATTCTTACAGGAAACAAGTAATCATTTAGTGAGCAATGAAATAGCACAGAATGGATTATACTGGAAAGAATGCTTTCATCATGCAGCAAAACTACAAACAAGTAGGGCAATAACTTACTCAGAGAGACACTTCCAAGTACCAGAACGTACACTGATTTTACAAATGAAGTACAACCATGTTTTTATTTTTCTCTTTGGCCAAATAACCAGATTCCATATTAGAAAACGAAAAAAGAACAATTAAAACTTAAAGTTAACCAAAATCCTTTCCTTGTGTGCAGTATTACACTATGACAGTGTATACAATAATAAACATTTTAATAATATATATTATCCTGACTCATGTTTTAGATAAAAGAGGATTAATGAATTTGTATTCAGTAATCATATTCATGCTACAGAATTGCTCGAGGAGAGATGTTCCCTGTTGCATTACTAGCCAGCAATTAAATAGCTAGGGCTTAGCACAGTGCCTGCAATGCAGTATTTCAGCTCACTTGGGCTCTGCAGTGAGACCTTCCGTATGGTAAATTCTGCAAGAGAAAAACAGCATAGAGGATCTTTGATGAATTGAGGTTATTTACTCACCCTGGTTGAACAATGTACCTGTATTCCAGAGACAATTAGTTGCTCTGTCCACAATAAGCCCATTCAGCAACTGCAGCAAAAGCTGAGTTTCTAACAGGATACCTGCAGCTGAGTTCCAGCTGTAACTTGACGTATAATGAGCAAGAGAAAGGCAAACTTCAACAGAGGCATGCAAAATGTTAGCAGGGCATTCCCAGACTACTGTGACCTCTAGTTCCTAGACAGTTGAAGAACTGTATGTTACCCAACCACAGTTTAACAGAAACAAGACGATACATGCACCAAAGCTCATTTTTCATTTACATTTTCTATTGAAAGGTAGGACTATAAACTACAGTGAAGGGAATTTATCAAAACTGGATCAGAAACAACCTCGAGCAGCTGTGCATGCCCTACAAAATGTCACCATGTTCATTTACGATGTTACTCACTCAACTGGTAATAATATTTAGACTTTGTCCATTTTTCTACTCATATGGATTGTGGAGAAACAGCTCAAGGAAACAGATTCTGACACCTGTATTATTTTTCCAGTGTGAAAACAGTATCAGCTTAGAGTCATGTTGAGAACCTTCTCTCATGCATCTGGTGTGCTATGTGTGACAAAATTGTCACCTGGGTTCAGGGCAAAATCGGCCCGACTAAACCCCTAAGGAAACTACAGTAAGCTTCTCAACCCATTCTTGCTGCTTCCTATCAAGCATTCTCAATCAGACCTCTTAAATACATATCTACTACCAGAATCAGGTCCCCTCAGTGCACAGGCAGTGTGCTACTTCCTAGTTATGGTCAAGTGGAATCTCTGTGCGGCAGAATTACTGATTGGCTATGCAAGCAGTCAGACAGCACCTTTACCTCACAGAGATATTATCAACGAGGGACCAAACCTGGTAATAGGTAAGTATTTAATAGGTGCCTTGTTTATGACAAGCAGCAGGGAGAGAGAGTTGGAAGCTCTGGTTCCCGAGGGTTCAGGTCTCTTGAAGCTTCCTAAGTGCTCAAAGCAAAATGTTCGCATTTTGCTTGATGCCAATGGAGACACTCTTTATTTGTCCATAGAGATTCATTCAGAGCATGTTCACTTAGACAAAGTATGCATTTGTCCTGATACAGTAAAAAGCAAACTTTGTAAATTTTCTACAGGACATAATAGATATTTCAACAGTTTATATATGAATATCCAATTTCTAGGGGTACCCTTCAGACCTTCTTTTGATAACCAAACAGCAGTAACCACTCAGAAAATGTTAGATTGTTTAATTACATATATTAAAATGCAAGTGCTATACTTAAAGGATAAGTGTAGTTTCAGATGAAGTATACTTACCCACCCTGCCTAGCCCTGCCTACTTTCTACTTGAGTCTGACAATCTGGACCTGCTACGATATTATATTCTCCAGCCAAAACTTCTTTACCACTGGTCACACTTGTACAGTAAACCATCATAGACCTCTATAGGCAAATCTCTGAAGTGACTCCAGTCTGAGGAGACAGCCTTAGCTTATCAGACTCAAGGGTATATTCACGAAGCAGCCGAAGGATCTAGCCGTAGCTTCGGCCGATCCTTTGGCTAGCTTCGGCCGCAGGACCCCTTCGGTTCAGTAGAACCGAAGGGCTGCTGTAGGGGCTATTCACTATAGCCCGTACAGCTCCCGAACTTGGCCGAGTGGCTCAGTCGAGCCGATCGCATATGCCTCGGCTCGGCTGAGCCGCGCTGAAAGCCGAAGCTGGCCAAGGCCGCTGGCCGGCCGACAGTCTGCTTCAGACAGCTGGGCAGAGCCAACCGTGATGTTACGGCTGGCTTCGGCCACTTGCAGAGAGATCAGCGTCCTTGGTTACCAGCTAACCAGGAACACTGATCCTGAATTAGCACTTACTCTTTAAAATAGTAACACATATCCCTGGGAGCTTCAATTTAAAACAAACCTCATCATATAAAAAATACACTTTATGCCATTTGTCTCAGTTCAGTACACACTACACAAATTAAACTATATCTAGATAAAACTACACCCATTTATGCTAATGGTTACTAGTTAGTGGGGTCATACATCTGAGACTGGCCAACAAAATAGGGACAAATTAGAGGTGTGTTAGTAAACAGTAGATTGTTACCAAATATTTACCAGATCATTATTGACTGTGAGCATATTCCTCAAAGTTACCATGTACCATTCTCAACAGACAGATCAATTTAACAAATACACATACTTACCCCCTGCCACAGTCAGTGTCCTCCTTTATACTGAAGAGTAGAGCTTTAAATAATTGTAGGTATCAGAAACAGGTAACCTGGCAAAATCAGAAGAAAAACATATCAATGAAAAGCTTCCATGCAGTTTTAATACAGTATATACAGTAATACATAAATAACAGGCTGTGTCAACATATTTGAAAATGCAGCTTTATCAATTCAATCATGTCAGTGCATTTGTTTAGTCCATAAAACAGCTGGCAATACCTCCAAGGACATACTTATCAAATGGTACTTTGTAGTAGAACAGAGGGGTCCTCTCCCTTCCCAGTCCCCCCCGTGAAAACAGTTGATGGATATCAAGATACAAAAATGTTGACATTTGCAGAGTTCTAAGGGATGTGACCGTTGAATACAATGGTAAAAAAAAAACAGGTTGAAAATTTGATAGGATGCTATAAGGCAATACAAGCAGTTATTTTTGTATCTGATAAGTAACCTAATTTCAAGCTCCTCTATTTTATTTGCCAGACTTCTAGCAAACTGCAATAAGCTATACAATATTGCCTAATCGCTTTTACCTTGACAATTTATTTTCATTTCAATCCAGTAAATAATTTGGCAGTTCATTTTGAAAATTAGCTCAGTGATTAATTATTCTCAGAGATGGAAAGGTTCAGATTGTCAGATAATACATCACTTGAAAGACAATTTTTCAGTTAGTGGTAACTTAATCTGTTTCATTGTGCAACCAATATAAAAAAGCAGAGGCTATTTAATTAGATCATGTCAACTGCTGCCTGGGTTTGGCATAAACATAATCAGTGATAAGCTATTCCACAGGGCAGTAATATGGTGAAAATAACATTCCGGCTTCAGGGCTCTAACCAGCAGCTATTTAAAAACCTCTATTACTATTTTTTTCTTTCTGAAACGACATACACAATGGATGCTGCAAGTGTGTTTGCCTCTATCTGGGGTGGGGGAGCTCTGAATGCATTCTGGCCGCACAATGGTGACATCATTAAGGTCTACTCTGCCTGCATCTGTCAAGATATATTAGCTCAGGTACATTCATATAACATATACAATTTATGCTGACAATGTCTGAAGCAGAAACTGCCAATGTCATCTCTAAACGTTACACAAAACAGAAGAAGACCCCCAATGGTAACAAGCACAGTTCGAGCATTTCCCTTTGAACAGCTTGGCAGGAGTCTTGTAGCCAGTGCATCTAAAAGAATAACAATAAGCATTTTTTTCAGTGCTTTCAACGTGTTTTCTGCCTACTGGACTAGACTGACTGGGTGTTGAATTCTACAGCAGTTTGTTAAGATCTGGTCTGACGTGTGTGTTAAGAGAATACACCAATTTCTATGAGTGTTGACAGCTATGCTCACCATAGACATTTCTGATGACTGACCCTAACTTCAAGCCAGCCTACAGTCAAGATTAAGCAAGCATTGTTTTCCTGGCTTGAGGTGAACATTCTTGTCACATTAAGTTAGTACATGTCCTCAGCTGGCTTACTTCTTAGTGGCCAACAGCACAGACCTTCTGTATACCATAATTTGCCTAATGGCTGAGATCTGAGCTGCTTATTTTAAGCAATTCAAATTAGACATGCATGTGCCCTCTAGGTACTCCACACATCCATGGGTACCTGTGATGAAGTGTGCACATTCAAGTGTACTGTATGCCTGCTTTGACCAGGCTGTTCCTAAGATTCATGATTGTTATAAAGGTGGTTGAAGCTGATTTGCCAAAAAAATAAATTTTTAGCTGCACTTTTCTGTTACGGGGCAGAGAAGAGAGCTAACGAGTGGTAAATTATGCTCCTACATGTGAAAAAAAAACCTATCATGGTGTACAAACTCAGGTCACTGTAAACATGCCATTTTCAATACTTCCTAGCAGTAACAATAATGAACCCATTCATCCGTCCTTCCATTCTTTCCTACAAGCCCATTACTATGATAGGAGCCTTACTGATCATTAGAAAGATACATAAGGTGTAAAGGGAGCTAATGACACTGCTTGGAAGGCCCTGATATCCAGGTACCATGGCCTTGTGTGGCCTACAACAGTGTTTTTGCTGTCACTTTAGGTATTTGAACACTATGACGGGTGTAGGTTAAAGCCTTCGGACCAAGGTCCTGATGCAGGTGAAAATACAGACTGACCTGATTCACTTGAAGAACCATCACTGTGTTATGGAATATATGATCTTTTACAATTAAGTAATCCTATTTTTTACTGTTTTAAATACTGGGGCCTACGGGATTGCAGAGATCAAAGGAAAAATAATGAAAACAAATCACAGCGCAAACAGACTGTCTGGAGGAGACTATTCATGTTTTACATGTACATTCTCTGAAATAAACATTTACTATCTGCGAAAATAATTCCTCAGTTGTGGTTTTTAAAAAAGATAATTTTACCAGGAACTTAAGTGACTTGCTATTTGCAGTATAACTTGCAAATTAAGATCAATTTACAGGGAGGGGTTCATAAGGGCAATAAATACTCACTAATACTGGCCGTACACTTCACAATTGTGTTGGCAATTCTTGAAGCTTTCCATTAACTTGCAATCAAAAAACAACTGCGAGAAATTGTATGATGTCTAGCAATATGCCACACATGGTCTGAAATTGGGATGGACATTTCTAGTAAAATGCCTTTTAACTGGCATTGTGGTGGTTTCCAACTCTCTCCATAGTCATTTTAATTTTTGTACTTTAAATTCGACTAAAATAGTGAGTGGAAGATTACTATAGTTAAACGCTGATGGAGAATTTCCATAATTATCTAACGTATTGGTTAACATTAGGAATAGGCATGCAATGGGCTCTACTTTTCTTCCTCTTAGTGGGTCTTCTGACTCCTAATACAGCTTCAGACCCCGAGGTTAGACCACAAGAATAAGGGAAATCCTTAAATGTCCTTTAGGCATTTAAAACATAAATGGTTCCTTTCCTATTCACACCAAAATATATTGACTTATTATCAGGACTGCTTGACACTGCAAGTCTGTATGGTTAAGAGCTGAAATTACAGGATGACTAACCCTATGTTTTATGTTTACTTGTCTATGTGATGTTGACTGTTTGTAAATTGTCATCAGCATAAATGCCTGTATTTTTAATTTGACATACTCTAAATAAGAAGGTGGAAGAAAGGCCATAAGTGAGGCAATTATACACATCAACCTCCACATCACATTTGTGTCCTGTAATGACATGAAGGTCAGCAGAAGGAAGAACTGAGCACATGATCAACACAGCGGCATTTCATGGCATGAGCACTGCCAGAGGTAAGTACTTACACCTTTTTTGCCAGTTGAATTTCCATGACAGGGTCGCTTTAAACAACACATGTACTGAGGAAGTATATAATTTGCTATTGCTGACCTCCTTTGTGAAAATACCAATTTCCTGGCTGTTAAGCTAATCCAATGGCTGCAGAATGTTCTGAGTATGAAAATTTGGAGCTCTGACTACTGTTTTAGAAAGCCAGAGACAGCCAGGAAACTGTATTGTCAGACGAAGGTCAGAAAATGGCAGCATCCATATTCCTCTCGGTAAATGTCCCCTTTAAGGAAACACTCAAAGCCTGGATTTACAGGAAAAACTGTGCAAAGTGTATATACTCATTAGCATGTAACTACCCTCAATACCTTCTGTTGTGATAAGCTTACTAGAAAATTATTGCAGCATCAAAGAATCAGAAAATCAATAGATCACTTTGAAGACCTCACAGTACACAAAGTATTGATTCAAACTCTAAAAAGACCAAAAATGCATGAAGAAGCACCATGGGACCACCCGGCATTTAAAGATAGATCATCAACACTGACTTTGTGTACTCAAAGGGACCCATAGATCAATATTTTATGTTAGTCAACGTTATATTTACATGACGTGTAACTACGGCTCTGGATGAGAATGGAAATGTAATAGGGATATATTTTTCTACTGTTACACCTGCATTAAAGTGAAACTCTGCTTTGCCCATGCAAGACGAGGCAACAGGTTCATGCTAATCCCCCCCTCCCCAGCAGCGTATACTGCACTAGCCTTACTTTTACTCCTATGCTGCTGTGTTTAGCCATCAGAGGGAGCTCTTCCTTTTAAATCTGTATCTCTTCTCATGCTGGGCAGAACTTCTGTTTTGCAGCAGACTGCATTGTCTCTGGAATGGCTACATGGTGTCTGTGTGTACGTTTGCAACCTGAGCCAGCACTACAGGAAGAGGCACTCAGCTGCAAAGGGAAGCTCTCCCCAAGCATGAGAATACATGAGGATTTAAAAGGAAGAGCAGCAAAGAGAAGGGAAACTACCATGGATTACAGTAAGGCACACATTACAGTATTGTGTTATGTTAAAAAATCTGAGGGTTTAATGCCACTTTAAATAAACATTTTCAGAGTCTGCACTCTGCTCCGGAATCTCTTTAGTTAAACTATCTAAATTTAAAGCTGGCACCAATTACTGCCTCTGGATGTTATGCTCATTTGCATAGTATTAACCATAATTCCTATTACATTTGGCTAATCTCTTCCAAATTGAATCTCGGCTCAGCAGACGCACACTGAGCTGAGGCCTTTGTGTTGGATAAAGTGTGATGTGTGGATAGGTCAGAAAATCACACATCAGGACTCTCCCACCTTAAGCCTTCTTAAGAGAGGTTTTTAGTTGTTAATGTTATCACATCATCCTCCTCATTTTTCCTGCAAGCTAAGAATTAGTTTTATAAATATTTATACACAGTAATTATTGCACTGAGAATGTGTGTCGTGGCTTCTCCTGCCAGAAATGCTAGCAATGTAGTGCAGCACAAATCCAGTACACATAGCTCCAGGCTTGCAGGAAATTACAAATTATTTACTGAATTGTGTTTAGGAAACAGACCAAAATATATTTCAAGAAGCCACTACACATGCAGGCAAATTGCAACTAAAACACAATGGCAGCACACTTTTACAAAACAGCATTTAAAGAGAACCAGTCAGCAACGGGCATTTTGCGATTCTGAATCTTATATAACTGTGCAGCCTTACCTCTCTGGGGTAATGTGTGCTTTTATTTCCTTGTAT